GTTTCTGAGGAAAGAAGGAGAAGGATAATTATGGCTTGCATTTGCTTTCAGAGAGCGTTGAGGACACGAAGCCATCTTTAAACAAGTACCTGAGCATCCTGTTTGGCCAAAGAGATGTCAACATTTGGCCTTTCATCACGATTTCCCTAGAGAGAATAGAAGGAAGTAGCATTGAGAGCAGTATAACATTATGTGGCACAGTGCAGAAGTTAGGTCAGAACTTCCCTTTATGAGAAAGCTCTTTGTAAGTCCAGCAAAATGTGCTGATGCTACCTGACAGAGAGACACCAGGAGTCTGCGAAAGTGTCCAGACGTGTCGCTGCTAATAGAATCCTCCAGGCTCTTCCCGTACTCTGGAAGGAAGGAGGGGCTTTTTAGGAAAATATATTCATTTCCATAATATTTGCATAGGACATTTCAGACACTGACTTTTTCAGAATTCATTATTTACCTGTTGATCAAATAAGCCTGCTCAGCTTAAAACAAAATATACCCTTATATTAATAAAAAAAACAGGTCTTAATAATGTCTTCCAACAAGAATTTGAATAAAAAGTAGAAAAGACAACATAAAACTCACCAGCTTTGTAGATTCTGGCAATTTCCTGAATCTCTGAATTGGAGCGTGATGACAAAATCTCAATGAGACAAGCCTCATCAGTTCCTGCACCCTAAAACAATTACAGAAAAGCATAGCGAATGCGATCAACATTCATTTGCAGCCAGCCATTTCACATTCACTTATTTTCCTAATGCACGATGAGCGAGATATTGTGGTTTGGGCAGGAAAACCAAAACTGAAACCATTTACTGAGACAACCGCATGAGCTTCCAACCTTTATAGCCTCTCTGAGTTCAGATGCATCAAATTGTGCTGGAGTCTTCAGCATGGCAAGAACCAGATCTTCAAAGTTTCCAGTTAGCTCAGACTTCAGATCCTTGGTTAAATCCTAAGCAGAAAAACAGAAACATCTGACTGCAAAGTCAGCTAAGATAAAACTGTCACAAAAGCATTATTATTTATGAAAGTACCTTTCCATAAGTAGTTTTATAAGCTGCTATCAATGGAACCCTCTGCCTTTTTGAACGATTTCCCAGAAGTTCAATAATGGCATTTTCATCGGTGCCTGTCAAGATGTTATTTTGTTAGAATCAATTTATGATGTGTAAAAGGAGAAGGAGCAAATGAACTGCTAATGGGAAACAATATTATATCTGATGGGTTTAGCATACTCAAACGCATATTTTACTGACCAAAACCCTTCATTGCCTTTCGAAGAACTTCAACATCCTTCAGTGGATCAGCCCCTGGAAAGTCTTTAATAGAACCCCTGTACCCTGTCTAAAAAGCATAAGAAATAATAAACACATATATAAATAAATTATACATATATCTGACATGATAAAATTCAACACAGTAACAAGTGTGTATGCTGTGGTAATTCTATTTGTGTTAAATACCACAGCATGCACCTGCCACATCTTACAGGCATGGCAGGGGCCTGAGGGTTGGAGGGACCCCCACTTCCATATCCAGGCATTGAAGGGTTAGTGGCAGGTGCTCCTGGGTAACCTGGCATAGGTTGGCCTGGGGAAGGGCCTCCTGGATATCCCTGCGGAGCTCCTCCTGGCTGCAAATGAAGGACAGCTAAGTACATGGTGACAAATGCATATTAAACAAATAAGGTTCAGATAGGAATGGTAAAGATAAGGAAACTTAAGCAAATGAGATTTAGCCTGAGCCAGTCCATATAGTATTAGCGAGCTGACACGTAAGAGGTGAAGAGTGAGATAAGAATTTACATACCGCTCCATAGCCACCTGGTGCTGCACCCCAGCCTCCACCTGAAAGAAAATATTGGCTTAAAGAAAGAATAGTACCTCACAAATGTAATCTGTCATGCCTTCTTCTTGAAGCCTCACCTGCTGGAGGCATGGATGGATAACCTCCTGCTCCAGGCTGAGCAGGGTATCCACCAGCTTGGGGAGGGAAGCCTCCAGCTGGAGCAGGGTAACCACCCCCCTGGGGTGGATAACCCCCTGCTGCTGGTGGGTAACCACCTGCCTGGGGTGGGTATCCGCCTGCCTGTGGGGGGAAGCCTCCTGCTGCAGGTGGATAGCCACCTGCTGCAGGGGGGTAGCCACCTGCTGCAGGAGGGTAGCCACCTGCTGCTGGTGGATAGCCACCTGCTTGGGGAGGATATGCCCCCGCCTGAGGCGGGTAGCCTCCCGCCTGTTGTGGGTATCCTCCAGACTGAGGAGGGTATCCTGGGTAGCTCATCTTCAAAACCTGGAGGTGAAATAAAGCTGGAGACTATCACTGTGTAAATATTTGTTTTTTATGTAAAACTTTTTCAGGGAATTTATGTTTTTGTCTAAAGAATGTTTACTGAATGGGCTCGTTAAATCTCATATAGAGCAGAAACAAAACAAACATTTTCCCCAAGACAATAGGAAATTGTTTAAATGTCGCTCACCACTTCCACTGATCCGTATCCCTGTCATATGATAATGACATTGCAATGTGTTCACTGTTTATGAAACTGTGCAACTTTTGCTTCCCCATTCTCAGAAAACAATATAATATAAACCCTCAATAATGCAAACAAGCAACAGTTGCCAAATCTTAATAAGTAATAAGTGAAAGGTGAGTGGTTTAATACCTGAATCTTATAGTCTGCATGTCAAAGAAATTCTAAACAGAACAAATTTTGTTCAGGGCAAAAGATAATGAGCTGCTGAGCTATATGCAAAGCATGCTTTCTGTAACTTCAAAACTGTCATTGTGCATACCAGCAGGAAAATATTTTGGGTTTGTGTTTGTGAAGTGAAACTATCAAACAGTTTGAGTGTGAAGTTGAAGCAATGTCCATACAGTTTAAAAAGATGTCTAAAGATATGATTTTCATGAGTTAAAACGAAGACAAAAATGCTTGAATTTCAATGAATGTACCTATTTACTACGTTGTTATTCTTTATCTGTTCATATTTTGCAATGTGTCGATAAAAGACCTTCCTTCCTTAACTAGGAATGCATGTATTCTGCAAGAACAAGTGCGTAAACACAACTTAAAAAGTTAACGACAGCCAAACAAAAGACGATTTTTCGAAATTACTGATTTTAGTTTGAACAGAAAGACCAAGGGTGTGTTACAAATGAGTTCTTGGAAAACATTTGGTTGCTGACACTCCCTTGCTTTTCAGGTTTTATTTTCTCAGTATTTTGAAACAATGCCACGGGCACTCGTAGTAAATACCACCAGTTAGGCAACAGAAAAAATACGTAAGCGAGGGGGAACTCACATAAATTCCTACAGTAATTAAAAACAACTAACTGCTGTATGTGTAGTACATGTTTCGACTTTGAACGTCGAAAAGCTCTTTTAACGTCAAAAGCAGTAAAACCAAAGTCCTTATACTCGTGAGAGCATCACAGGCCTGCATTTTCTCAACTAACCAGCTGTGATTTTACTGTTCAATAATAAACGCATAATAATAAAAACCTTGGCCCGTTCGTGATGGTAAGAAGCATTAAGTGATTTAACCGTGTGCCCTGAGGCAGAAGAGCAGAAACGACCCAGCCGTCCGTTAACGTTACACAACACTTTCCAACCGAGTTACTGCTTTAGCATGTAGCATCCGGCCTGGGCGACTAATAAAATATTTATTTTAATTCCTTACATACATTTTACAAGCGCTAGCGTGCCGCTGTGACGTCCCCAAAGCAGAAAGTTAATTGCTAGTTGCTATCTGGTAACGTCACCATTAAACGGCTGTTTGTTTGATCAGGCAAAGCTAAACGAAACAAAAACAAGTCAACAGCCAAAATGAGCCGCTACATTTCTGCAAGTTCCTCGCTGTTGTTTATTGCAACGTAAAGAAATATTTGTTTTAAATATATTGCAGTGGAAAAAACTATAGATTAGAGTTACTTACTTGGCAGATGCGGGCGTCAGATCCAGGAAGAGCCAGGCAGGGAGAGACCAGCCTGAATGTGGGTGGGTCCTAGTTTCCGTGCTAGCAGTAATAACCTTTGCTTTGCTTGTTGTTACCGCTGGAGATAGAGACCACTGTTGAGTCAGAGGGCTGTGATGTGTCATTCTCTCCACACTGAGCACTGGAACATTGTTTGGCTTTAATTGATTAAAGTTGCTTCCATACAGGGACAAAAACCAAAAGATGATCTGTAAATTAATAACAAAATATTAAAAGTGTTTTATAATGAATCTACCCCCCCCCCCCATGAAACCTGTGTATCTATGCAAACAGGGGTTTTCTGTGTATGCACTGCAAACGCCCCAAGCTTCCACATCACACTTGTTTACTTTTTAAATTTCTATTTTCATGTCTCTGGGCCACATGACCTCATGTATAATACAAATTGTTATTTAAAAAAGCATGAATCATAGCGAGTAGGACATCCCCAGACCTTTCATTTGGATCGTAATTTAGATTATTTTGAGCCTCCAAAAATGAATGGTTAAACACATTATTAAAAAAAACAAAAACACGCGTGGGCAATAAAAAACCCCACTATTTTACAAGTCATGGGGTTATTACATGTTTTAGCACGACATTTTAGCTTTCTTACTGAATTAGTCAGTGTGAAGCACTAGATGGCAGCAGCCCACTTCCTCATTATAATCCACTGGGCTTTTCATTTGAGCTGACACCAAAGCAATTTTGTGTGCGTTTTATATCTGGAAATCATTAATTATAGTAAACATGAAGAAGTTTATCGACACTCTCACGAATGAAGGAATTGAAAACCCGACATGAAGTTTAGATATTAAACAAAAGAAATATAAAGCACTTTTGTAAATATGTGAAATCTCATATAAGTTTAATGTGGCTTTTTAAAAAAAATTATCATCATCACTTGCGTTATATTTAGACGATTAAACAAGTACAGAGAAGTTCCCTTCTTAATACAGATGCCAGCGAAGGTAATCAGAAAGAGATGCAAACTCATGTTGGCCCTCCTATTCTCTGTGACGCAACGCAGAGTCCTTGCCTGTTTGCTGCTCCAGTCCTCCAGCTCCCACACAGCCTTTCCATTTCAAACTTACACCGAGCCCCTCCCGTGACTTCTCTCCTGTTAGTGGAGTCCTCCTCCCAGGGCTTCCCCCAGGTGAACACACGCAGAGATTACGCCCAGTCAGGCGCTGCAGGGGGATGACTGGAAGAAGTTGGGTTGTCCAGAGAAACCGGCGGTTCTGACGGTGCTGTTTTAAGAGGAGAGGCGCAGACCTCCAGAAGACACCATGATGTCTGCCGTAGAGACTGGTGTGTACCAGCCCGCGCAGCTTCTCAGCTGGGTCTACATGTCCTTACAAGACACGCCGAGTAGCGCTTTTGACGGCTTCAAAGTCGAGTCGGACTCCTCTCCTCTGGACGTGAGCACCTCCAAGCGCAGCGCAGCTGATCTGAGCTCCAACTATCTCAACAACTTCTTCCATCTGAGCAGTGAGGTAGAACGCATGTGATGCTGTCTCAATCATTAAGTTGCGATGGCAGGTTATTATCTCCGTATTTGGATTAAATCTTTATCTTTAATGTTATTTTTTATTTATTTATTTATTTGCTGCAAGTCTCTCCCTGAATGTTCTTCTCAGATATTTCAGCCTTGGTTACTTTGCTGCCCATACTGCAAACCTCACCTGCATGCCTTCATTTGGGTTGCCCTGCGGTGACTGGGTAGCATATGAATATGCGTTTTGTACCCAGATATAGTGCCTGAGTGTGTTCAGACTGTTCTGGTGTCAGCCAGACGGGGGAATGGTAGGTTGAGAAAGACCTCTCACAAGCTTAGCCACCCCAACCCCTTGGCCTCTGCATGGTTAGAGCGGTATACAGTGTTAATTCAGTGCTTAATAAACTACTGACTAATTGAAGAAAGAGATAAGGATTTTTTTTTAAACAAACTGAGTACTTTGTGATGTTTTCTTTAAATTTTGACATCTAAATCCACAAGTTTTTACTTGAGACACAAGACATTTCCACATATCTGGCGTGTGTGCTTTAACTTCACGCATGCCAAGATATCTAGTGGTTTGCTGTCTCTTGCATAGGATCTCACTGCTCTAAAGCACATGTGCATCTGACCACAATTCGTTATTGTGCGATGCCTTCAGAGTAAACAGTGTCCGCAGGCTGTTCTTCATGTTGGTTGGCCCTGCAGTGCCATAGCACCCATCTCCTCTAGAAGCACAATGATGCTGATTATGTCGTGCCAGAAGAACCATTTGTAAGAATGCATGACAAAGGCATTTTGTTCTAATGAGGAAATGGACACTATTGGTTCACACAGTAAGGACTGCACATCTGCAGAAATCAAATAAGGTTGGCTACTGTCAGGGAGACAAACAGGAGAATCAATCAGGGTGATGGACTGACAGACCCCGTGAAATGTTCTTTTATAGCAGAGTCACAACAATAACCTTCTGTAACTTTCTGTGTTTTGGGGATATGGCAAACACTCTTGTGTAGAGCTAAAACTGATGAAATGAGTAAAATCAAAAATTAAACAACCATCTGTCAAACAAAAAAGCCAAAATCTGCTAACTCCAAAGTAAAAATCTTACAGTTTTTACCTCTGATAGTTGAGTATTTCTGTGTTTTGATTGATTTTGAAGCTATTTGAATACACTACCTTGGCCTTTTGGAAGTTATGTTGGGCATTACTTATGAGCTTCGGACATTTGTAGACATAGTTAAGAGCGCGTATCAATGGAAAAATAATTATGATTTGTTTGGGTGGGGGGGCGTTGCTTTTCTCTGACAGAGCTTGAACAATAATTTCTACAAGAGGACTTCACCTTATGGATCTCTCAACAATATTGTGGATGGCCTGAGCTCACTGGCAGACCATTTCTCAGACCTTTCCCTGTCTCCTGAGACACGGAAGCCCAGCAAAAGGCCGCCACCCAACTACCTATGCCACCTTTGTTTCAACAAAGGACACTACATCAAAGACTGCCCTCAGGTGAGACACACAGTGACACTTTACATCAAACAGCTGCACAATATGGGGCTCATTTGAGCTGTCTATCAAATGCATGTGACGTGCTGCATGAATAATACATTTGTAAAGTAAATGTGATGACAAATCCAACAAATCACATCCAGTTTCTTCGTCACATTTCTAGGTATTCTTTCACAATTGTACTGCACTCAATTTAAACTCTACATTCCAAGTTAGAGTATTATGTTTGTATTATTCTTTTTTTTTTAGTGTGAAATACAGTCCTCAGCACATATTTGAATTAGGTGTACCACCACAGGTTGGTAATGAGCAGCAGATGCCAGATTGGATCTCGGTGCTGGCCTTAATGAAAGATGATAGGTTTTTCTGTGGAACTAGGCACGACCTCCACTCCAAACATGAAAGAAATATTACCAGTGCTTTATGTGCAGCTGTGGTTCCCCATTGATCATGTTCTGAAGGAAATGCTTGACATTTGTTAGGTGTAATAGAAATAATAAAATGACTGATGGACAGGATGTGTCCAAGAAACAAAGAAGCAAAAACTTGAATTTAAAATAGCAGGTCAACTTTTACTAATCAAATGTATCTATACCACCCATCCATCCTTTTTTCTGCTTATCCAACTGAATCACACACACACACACACACTCTCTGTCTAGCGATATATAGATAGATATCTTGTAATACCATGTCACACAGGATATCCCTCTCCAAACATGGCTAGTGATTAGGTAGCTTTTTTTTTTAAAAGTAGAAATTGCTTTCTTTTGCAAAATCTGAAAGCAGCAACCTCCTTTTATAATACCACAGACTATAATACTGGGTGATCAGTTTCAGTTATTTCAGTGTTTGTCAAGTTCCATCTATCAGAAAAGCCAAGTTAAACATATTTTTAAGAATATCAATCTCTTTTTGGGGGCGACATATAACAATAGCAGTTTGAGACTTTCAGAAAAAGTCAAAAGAAGATTGCTATTCCATTTGCAGCAAATCATATTTGGCTCCGTTCTGGGAGTTTCCCACCTTTCCATGTGCATGGAAAGTCCAGTATGAGGAGAGCAACAGCAGACCCTCAAGCACAAACAGCATGGAAAAATAAAAATGGGTTAAAAGTTGGTTTGAAGTAGTTATAAGCAGGTTAAAGTTAATTAAATAGTAAACCCAATGTGATCACCTTTTAACAGCTACCAAGATTTTAGGCTGAGATTTTGCACTGAACCAAGACTATGCTAACCGATGCTAAATCACAGTTAATTAGATAAAACATTTAAAGCATGTTATTGATAACACAAGGTAGCCTTTTTTTTAAACTGTGTGACAAATACCTGTTAGGTGTGCTTAAACACATTTGCTTTCTTGTGAATGGAAATGCTTTATGTCTGTAAAGCTAGTAGCATAGAAATACTATAGACTGTGAGCCAGTGTTAGCAAAAAGACGGAAAATGGGGAGAGCCAGTTTAGCTCTGTCAAAAAGAACACAACTGCTTATAATTACTGGTTTTATGCTTTTTGCAAAAATCAAACATTGTAGATAGCATTACTATGCTTTAGAGGAGCTGGTAGGGAATCTAGTGATTCTACCCTACACCAATTGTTGCTCTTTTTATGCTAAGCTAAATTAAGCTATCATTCCAGATGACCTACATTTTTTAATGTGAGAGTGATATCAAACTTCTTATCTATTTCTTAATATATAAGGAATAAACACATTCTCCAAATAATTCTTTCACTCAAAAACAATGAGTACGAATCTCTTTTTTCTCCCTCGAGTTTGATCGTTCTCTCCTAAAGTCTTGACTCTGCCAACACATGGTAGATTAGTGTACTCTAGCACAGAATACAGCCCATATAGGAATGTAAGGAATGCTGACAGCACATGTGCAGTGACTTTATAGCTCTTCGCACATTCACATCTGTGAACACCTGCCAATTGCTATGAAAAGTAGGTGTATATTCTGTATTTTTCTTTGGTGTCATGAATCACATCTTCATCTAAGTGTATCAAAGAAGGTCCTAATCACACACTTTAAAGCCACAGACACTTGGTAGAAATATTGACAACCCTTCCTGTTATGCTATTGGTCCTCTACAAGCTTCTGACTCAATCATCTCACAAGCTTTGATGTTTCTTAGATGTTCTATATGAAAACTTAGTTCTAACTTTTCACTTGTGATTTTATCCAACATTGAACACAAAAAGCTGACTCGTTGACAAGCACTCCTTTAAAACCGGATAGCAATGGGTCTGGAGCCTTTACTAGCTGACAGTGGGCAAAAAGCATGGGCTAACACAGAAATTAAGATAACTATACATTATCAGATCCACAAATACAAATCGGGAATGTGTTTGGACTGTGGACGAAGCTGCAGCAACCAGTGAAAGTGGGTAAATGTAGAAATTTAACACAACAGGCTATACGAGTGGAGCTCTAAAGAAACAGCAGCTTTACACAACTTGAGGTTTAGAATTTTTATGAGATAAACTGCGTCACAATCTTCATCTGTAAGTTGTGATTATCTGTTTTTACCTTGGTGTATTGTGAGTAAGTCTTTAGGCTGAGTCTGACGCTAGGAGACAGGGAACATTTTGTGGAGCTGCAGTGGATAGGAATCAAAGGATGTCATGGCTCAGTAAGATGAGAGAAGGATCCACACAGGAAGTCTGTGCCTGAAGCCTTAAAAGCATTTTCTGGAACATCAAGTCTAAAATTATACGACAAATACATGGCAGGTAATGGGAAAAAATAAAAAGTTTTAGGTATAAGAGAAAATGCTAATGCTGCCATTTGGCATTTCAATAGTTAACATCGTGCTGACAGCACTGTGGAGCGTTGGGTTACTTGCTTCATGAGACGATTGAAACGTCAAAGGAATTGTCAGAGATATTTACGATTCTGCTTTATTGCTATACTCTTTAAATTATGCAAAATCTGGAAACCATTTTTCCTCCTGGCTTTTTGCCACTCTTGCTCTGCTTTAGAAAGATGATGTCAGATTTTATCATGTGTTGCTAATATTTCAGACCCAAAGGGATGATTACGGAGCTGTCGCCATGACAAAAGGTCTCTTTAGTTGAAGTTGTGATGAACGTTCGTCTGAAGCTGTGCCTAATCAACAAACTGCTTTTTGTTCTCGCTGGTTGGAATCTGAGGCATTTTTAGCCAACTGAAGTTTAGTATGCTTTTGATGTCTTAGGATTGCAGAAAAATAGTTTAAAAAAAGTTAAAAATCCTTCATACTATATTGTCTTTAAGATTCACATTTCCAAGCAAACGACAGGTACTCATCGAGGGTTTACGTGGTTTTTCCCTTTAACTTAGGGTCACATTTTAATGTCCTCATCCCAGTTAAGTAGCTCGACCTGCTTACAGTAAAGAAAGTACACAAGTGACAGAGTGCTGACAGTAAATGGGTGCGTGGTGGGAAGGGCCTGTGATAAATAAGGAGAGCATTGTTTCTGCAGAGGGGCTGTGGAACCAAAGGTCAGGAAGTCAGGCTGTATTGTTCGCACAGTGCTGCTTGGCTGGAGTCATCTCTGTCTCTCTCGCCTTTCTGTCAGTGCAGGGCAGTGGCGAACGAACTCTAGCTACACTGAGATGACTGCATCCGTTTTTGCAAACTTCTGGGTAACATAGGAAGTGCATGTAGGTCTTTACTGTTACAGTTTAATCACACTTGAATGGAGGGGAAAAGTCTGCTTTGAAAATTAGTTGCAGAGATTACAAAAGAAACTTCTTGATCTGATCATTGGCCTTTGAACATAAACATATTTTTAGTTCTCAGTCTTTTTAGTCTGTGCTGCGCCACTTATATGTCCAACATTTAACATAATGTTAATTTGTTGTGTTTGCACTTTCTATTTTTAGATGTAAGACAAGATACACAGTGTTAATAATTATCATGCAAGATAATGATAGGCAGATGTTTTATTTTTATTTTTGGATCAACACAGTCCAGCTGTTTGCTTGTGTTTAAAGTCTTTTAGCTAGACGTAGATCTATATGTTTGCATACAGGCATACAGGCCAGTCAGCATTCTGATCTCGGCAATGATGCATTTACCAAAAAACCAAAAGTTTAAACATAAAACAGTATTCAACTGTATTTGGTACTTCTGAGAAATGTACTATAAAATGAAATTACAGGAGGATGATCTCAATATTTACAAAGTTTTTAATTGACTGAAATTAGGTGAGTATCAGATTCGTTTTGGGCTGGATAAAGTGAACGACGCTGAACTGGACAATCTCATGTAACCCTGTCTGATTACTGTTGCTGTGGTCCTTTTGTTTTCACTGGTGATAACTGTCTTATCTACACACAATATCCTGCCTGGCACTTCTGGTTAAACATCTGCTGAGGATGATGCAAAAGATAGGGGAAACCCTGGAATTCAGGATAGATAGCCTTCATATGATAAAGAGTATCGTCGGCTCAAGGCTAAGGAACACATATAGGAAAAATGCTGTAGAGATCACTTTTATTATGGTTCCATGTTTTTAATATTTTCCTAAATGTTACTCAAACACATATTGAACTGAAATTGGACATATTTTGCTGTTCCAACCCACCATCTGTTCCTGTCATTCAGTCTTTTGAGAAACATAATACCTATAGTTCAGTGGAGCTCAGTCAGATTCTGGACCAATCAAATGGCTTGGTCCCCCCCAGACTCCTGCATTTGAGAAAGATGCATAGAAAATGTCCATATGTCTGTGTGATAATCATTCTCCTTGCTCTGTGTGCTTTCAACACTGGGTCTGATTGATTAAAACTCTACAGCACTACAGAACCAGTCATCTGCTCTTTGGCCTCCAGATGTTTGTATCTAATCATATTCATGTTGGATTAAAGAAAAGTTCATCCACTCTGTGTTTCAAATGTGCAACATTTGTAGAAAAGCTTTGCAGAAAGATCACAGCTTCGGGCTGTATCTGCATAAAAGAATCTTTTGACATCTTGATGTTTCCGTAAGTGGAACATTTGGCCTTGATTTGCTCTGAAAAAGAGGAAACACCATTGTGTAAGACATAAGTCAGCATCTACTGGCCAGGAAGAGACTGATATCTTATTTCCTCGAATCACTGCTCTGTGGTTTGAGCCCACGGTCGTGGTGAAGCTGCTAGAAAAACTTTATTAAACTCGGGATGAGAATAGAAGTTTTGAGTTGAGGACCTACAACACAGTGAGAGCAGCAGCGCACGAACCAAACAGCTTCATCTATTCAAAACGAGTCATAGTAAAGCAAGTTAGAGCAATTCTTCAGAGAACAGTGCATAAGTCGACACATCCTATATTTTAAGTGGTAGGCACGCCACTAGGTTTGCAAAAGACTGTGGCATATTTGTTTGTTATATGGAGTTTTTATCCTTTTGTTTTTATTTAGATGGACTACAGCTGATGTATCAGATGTTAAATTATTATTTCATTATTTCTTCATAACAGCTGTGAACCCCTAGGGCATCCAAACTTACTCAGATGTGTTGATTATTTATGAATTGGAACATTTGTTTCAGTTTTTAAAATATGCACTATGGTGAAAAAGACAGCCTTGTAAAAGTTGCTCAGGTTTAAAAGTAGGCACGTCGTAATGTTATCACTTTTAAAATAAGCAGCTGCTCAACAAACTAGAATCCAGCCTAAGATGATGTCTTCTAATTAGTTTTGTTTGACAAAATGCTGCTAAAGCCCTAAATATTTGTTTGATAATCACATAAAACTAAAAAGCAGCACATCGTCATATTTGAGAAGCCATAACCAGTTGAATTTTGGTTTACTGCTGCCATCAAATTTGTCCTCTTAAAAACGCAGCTGTTTTAATAGTCTCTCTTTGGGGCTCGTGGGAATTGAGGCATTTGTTGCTCTTAACCCTCCTGGAGAGTTGATTTCACAAGATAATGAAAACTATCTCTTAAATCAGCACAAGAGTCTTTAAAACACAGGCGACCTTTTGCTGCGGTGGTCAGCCCAGGCATGATTGTGTTGTTTTGCTTTGCTTAACAGCTGGACTTCTCCATGGATGCTGTGGGGGTCTGACACAAATTAAACCCAGCGAGGGACAGAGTGTGGTGGGTTTGTTAGTGTGGAGTAATTGACCACATGGTATCCAGTAGGCTTAGCTGTGCTGAGTTCTCCAGGATGAATTCTCTCGTGGGGGTATGGGAGTAGGGGAGAGTGAATGAGGGACTGGCGAATGGAGACGGGGGAGGGGGGGGGGATTTGGAGTAGTCCATTGTTTATCCTGATGGTTTCCAGATGATGGCAGAGGGAGGCAGCCACCTCCTGGGTCTCTCTCACCAGGCTACAAGGATCTGGGCCAAGCTTATCTGCTGCAGCCTACAAATCTGGCTTTACATCCCTCTATGCAGTCTGGGGCTAATTTAAATAAGACAACATAAGTATTGGCTGTGAAACTGAATATGTTATAATTCACATAATAAATGAATTTCACAACTTATTTATCTTAAAAGAGTTTCTCACATGTGGTTTCAGACTGAAAGGTTTTGGGGTTTTAGGCCTGCTGTTTGTTTCTATGTGTTTTATTTTCTGTGTATGACAAAGAAAATTGAATTGAATGAAAATTGTTCTCAGAAACTGCACCAAGTCTAAAAAACACAGGCAATGGAAGTAAAGTAACCTCTGCAAACAAAGACCAAACCCAGCTGCCTTAGCTGATATTAGTATTGCTGCAGTCCTTAACTTTTCTACATATCAGGAATGCAGATTTTGATATAGCACACAGCAGAAGGAGAAGATAGCTTCTGCTGTGTGCTATATCAGGAACTGCTTCAAAGGCAATTACTTCAAATGGCTTGTAACTGCTGGAAAAATGCTGCCTAAATGAAATGAAAGGCATAAGAAGGCGTAACTTAATTACACGTACTATTTACACATGGACACAACTGTGTACAGGCTTTTTACTGAAAATCTTAAGCCTCATCAGTAATGGTCTCAGTGGGAGGGGGGCTGTCAAGAAGCCATTCTTAAGGAAGGGAAACAGGCGGAAAAGGATGAGATATGCCAAATTACACAAGAACTGGACTGAAAATCAGTTGCAACAGGTCTTGTGGAGTGATGAATTTAAATTTGAAATGTCTGATTCAAAACAGCATCAGTATGTAAGGAGGAGGTGGAACAGTGAGTGTCAACAGTAATCTATAAAACATGGTGGAGACTCTGGTTTTGGGCTGTATTTCAGTCAGTGGTGTTGGAGATTGTGTCAGAACTGATGAAATGAAGAACGCAGAAATGTATTTTCAAAGATTTATCCACCATGCAAAACCATCTGGAAAGCATCTGTTTGTCAGTGGCTTCATTTTTGAGGATGACAGTGATCCCAAACACGCTACCAATAAAGTAAAAGCTTATCTGGATAGAAAAAAACACAGTGGGATAGTGTAAGTCATGGATTGGCCTCCCCAGAGCCCAGACCTTAACATTTTTGAAGCAGTGTGCAATCATCTTCACAGAGAACAGAGCAAAAGGCAGCCAACATCTAAAGAAGAGCTTTGAATGTCCTTCAAATAGCCTGGAGAAGTATTCCTGAAGCCTACTTAAAGAAATTACAAGAAAGAATAAAGTCTTACTAAGAGAGTTCAGCCTGATGTGTGTATATACAGTGTCATATGTAGGGGGAAATGGCCCACTGATCTGATGGATTCAGTCAATCTTTCCTGCTTTCCATTGAGAGTGTCCATTCACTTCCAGGTCAAAAGTGTGTTTTCATTTGTTGGCTGTCAGTGTGACATCTTTGATGAGGGCAGTGGAAACTACAGCGTGTGCAGTGCCCCTCGCTGCCCTGTGGGCTCCAGACTTTAGGTAGAGTTTGTTTTGCTTGTTTTGAAGAGTGAAAGCTGTTTCCTTCTTCAGGAAAACGATAATCTGTCTGCTGTCTCTGTATGCTTGAGAACAAGGGCAAGCATCAAAAGCGATCTCCCACAGTGCCCCTTGGTGGCCGAATGAGGCAAACACATGCTTCAAAATGATTCACAGCGCATTTAGCAGTTGGAGATTTGGCTGATGGAACTTCACAACCTGTTTTCACATATTAAGGCCTGGAAATGAATAAAATTGGAAATGATCAGTGAGAAGCTTTGAACCTGACATATGTTTCTGCGGTGAAATAAAAGCAAAGCATTATGTGAACTTCTCTGTTGTTGTGGATTCAGGCCTGATTCGATCTTAATTTTGACTTGCCCTACTTTTCATCCAAGATGCTTTTAATTCAAACCAGTCTTGTCGAGAGGATTTTCTTTTTTCTTTTCGGTGATGGGCTTAGAATTTTGTCATGTTACACCAGCGCAGAGTTCATCTGGGTTTTATTTCCTCCCTGCTAAGATCTTTGTGTTCTGATTGGAGGATTGTGGCCAGCTGGGAGGGATGACTGATAGCCTAAGGTATTTGTCCTATAGAAGTAAGCCCTCTCCAATTGGTCCCTCCGCAGGCTAGGGCCTCCTTTACAGTCTCCTGGGAACACAGCTGGAGGGAGGGAGTTCATTTCTAATGGGAAAGCTGAGACTCTTTTTGTGTCCAGCAAATAAATTACAACATACAATATCATCTAACATCTTTGGAATTAACCACTGAAACTTTTCTGTTTGCTTTCATAGAACCAAGAGTCTTGTAATTTCCTACAATATCCCTCTAAAATAAGTTTCCTTTGATTAGATTACTTTGTAATATAAGTCAATCCTTTTAGGATTGTTAAAGCACCAAAGCAAATTATTTGACAAAACATAACCATCCCATTGCTGAAAAAAAAAACCCTCTCCATAAATTCTCCTGACCACCAACAGTTCTGCTATCAGGATGTTTTATAATTACATGAAGCTTTGAACTGGCTGCCATGCAAAGAAACAAAATAGGTCATTGCATAGGTTTTCCCCATTAAAAGTGGTGATAGGCATGTATAATTTTTCTTCTTTTCAGGCTCGACCCAAAGGCGAGGGCCTGACCCCATATCAGGGAAAAAAGAGGTGTTTTGGAGAGTATAAATGTCCAAAATGCAAGAGGAAGTGGATGAGCGGGAACTCCTGGGCCAACATGGGACAAGAATGTATCAAGTGCCACATCAACGTTTACCCTCACAAGCAGGTAATGCATCAGAACACAGGGCATCAGGAGACTGGGACAGCTCATTGGTCCTGCACATCAAATCTTTACATGTATTCAATCTATGCAATCAAATCCACTTTTTTGTAGCTTGACCATTGAGGCCAGGACTGATTTTAAAAAGGTGAATTGTTCAAATTTTGGATACATTAGCTGCAGATACCTCTGTCTTATCCTTATATAAGCTTGCAAATGGCATAGCTTGTCTGTTTCTCATGTCTTTCTTGGACCTAGGACTAATTGGCAATTTCTGTATATGCAGGTCATTAATTTCCAGTTTCTTTGTTCCAGAGACCTCTGGAGAAGCCGGATGGGTTGGATGTGTCTGACCAGAGTAAAGAGCATCCGCAGCACCTGTGTGAAAAATGCAAAGTCCTTGGCTACTACTGCCGCCGAGTGCAATAACGCATTCAGTTTGCCTAACACACTGCTCCAAAGCTTCATGAAACACACATAGCTACGACAGCTATATTTTAGTTACTAAAGCTACAGCATCTATAGTGCAGTAATGCATCTCACGCTTTCATGAAATACCCTCTGACTCTGGTTTCAGTAGTATCAGTGGAGATTGTGTTTGCTGGGTTCTTGTAAGCTACTCGGTTTTCATTATGTGAATATTCATTTGAAGTCTGAACTTTGAGCCAACTGTGAATTAAGAAACTTTACTTTCTTCACTTGTGAGCAACTTCTTGGAACAGCTTTCATATAGAGGTTCTTTTACATGTGTGTATATTTCAGAAATAACTTAAATGTTTTTGTATAAAATATGCAAGTCTACCAAGACGGTTATGCAGTAATAATGTATATCTGCCTTGTCCTCTGTATTATTAGTATTGGTGGGTACATCATTTTTCTAATATATGTTTTAAGCCATACTATTTTGTTGAATATTACTCTTTGTGAAGGAATATATTAGTCAACTAACATTAAGTTCTTTTATACTACGTGCTACAGTTTATGGGGAAAACACTCGTCAGGTAGTTTGTGGCTCCAAAGTTTTAAATATGCAGTGTAGAAATTTTTCTAATAGTAACTTACAGCAACTGTATTTTGGCACCCAGTGCTAAAAGACTCGCCAAAGTGCTTATGGTCATAATGTAGTATATAACATGTGACAGTAAAAAAAAGTGAATGTAACAAACGGTGATAAGTGAAGGGTTACATGTGAGTGGTGCTTTTCAGGGTATTTTTCACTGGACTTGCTAATAAATGAGTATGGAACAGAAAAACCCTTTAACTTGTAAACTGTGTTAAATTTAATGTGCCTTCATTTGTATAACCCATGAGATGGATGCTTCTCTATTGAAATATTTGCATTAAAATTGATTTAAACGTGATCGGTTTCTGATCTCATCTCTATATCTCAAGTAAGGATGTAAGCACATCATATCATGAGGGGGGACTACAGAGAATAACTTACTGATATATGGCTTCAGTATCATCAAATACAATCACAGGTAATCTTATAATTAAAAAAATAAAATGATCTGCCTCCATCCATCCTTTGCATCCTCTTTTGTCACACCAAGCCTGTGTGCTCTTCCTCTTTTCCTCCTGCCTAACAACTCTAAATTTCCACATTCTGTGAACATCTGTCAGCCTGTCCATTACACTATATACAAGAGATCAATGTAGAGTGAAGTGAAGTTAATCCTAACTTCACGTTAAACTCATGTCATTCCTATCACATCTCAGTCATTTTGTTGCCCACATACACTTTCTGCCACTCTTTTTCTTCATACAATACCATAGCTCCTCTCTTTGTACCTCATTGTATTTTTTCTACATATACAAATTGTACCTGCTTCTGAACTTCTCCTCAGGAAAGTTCAGAAAGAATATTTTTCCAACATCTCCAATAAAATGTAGGCACTACTGAAATAAGTTTTATTTCAGCCAGTTTGCTGACGTGTAAAATTTCATTGTTAAGGAAATTTTAAATTTTTACACCTTTGTTAAAAATCACATGTTTAGAAAAGGGTTTTGTTTTTACAAATGTATGCCCCTTTTTTGCAAAATTAGTTCAAGTTTATATTGCTAAATTCACAAGCTTTGTCACATATTAGGATCATTCATTATTTTTGATCCATCAAGTTCACATTTAAAGCAAACACGTGTGTTGGCCATTACTTGAGGTAATACAGCATACAAACACAAAAACCTAAACAAAAAATGTTCTGAAATGATCTACTGTCAGCAAACAGAGATAGCACCCTGTTCGCTGACTGAAGAAAGACCCTCTTTCACTCTTGCATTTATTGAAATTACAGCAGGAGATGAGACTACGGACACGTCCACACGGAGTCTAGTCGAGCTGTCCACAGTCTGTGATAGTGATCTTCTTGGAGGTTCGCCCAGTCCGTGAACCGTAAAACTCCACTCTCTCGACTACATCCATTCCCTCCTTCACGCTGCCAAAGACAACATGCTTGCCATCCAGCCTAAATGAAGAAGACGCTTATTTTAATATAGCTGCCCTGGATAATGACATGATCCATGAAGCACCTACGGAGTCTGACCGACTCACATTTTATTAGGTGGAGCCACAGACTGATGAAAAAGAACTTCACTAGCTTCATCTCCTACATTTTATGATGTTTATCAGTACGTACCATTGTGTTTTAGCTGTGCAGATGAAGAACTGGGATCCATTGGTGTTTGGTCCAGCATTGGCCATAGACAAGATACCTTACAATTGAACAAATTCATTCATTAAAGTACATATTTTCACTTAAGCCACACATCTACACAACATATTATACAGCACACTCAAATATCACCGTTAGAAAATCCACCATTTAAAATGTTGCCACCTGGTGGCAGAAGACAAATGTGACTATACCACATTACAATGGAGGACAGCATTGGGTAATTTTCCAGTAAATTGATACAAAAAAACAAAAACAAAAAAAACAATCACAGTACCCATAATATTCACAGAATTGCTAAATTTAACTTGAGATGCATGCATATTTAATCTGGTCATGGCCCATCTCATTTTTGCTCTGGAAAATTACAATTTACTCCATTTACTACCAGCAAAACACCAGTCGCAAAACACCAGTCACAAACACTGTAGCCTGAGATTGTACCAACATGTGTAGTATATCACATTGTGCAGTGTATGCATTATATTAGATGCAATGTATTATAACCTGTAAGACTGTATTTGGTTTTGTACAACCCCATCGTCCTTTTGGTTCCCAAGGAAAAACTGAAATGATGTAAATACTTGCCTGGCCCAGTGTGCTTCAGTTGGAAGTTCTCGTCAGGAAACGTCCTTCCGTAGATCGATTTTCCTCCAGTTCCGTTGTGGTTCGTGAAGTCTCCACCCTGAAAACACAAAACGTGTGACTGTAATTGGACCCTCATAGGACACAGGAAAACAAAAGGAGAGAAATATTAAAGCCTACCTGGCACATGAACTGAGGGATCACTCTGTGGAAAATTGAACCCTTATAACCAAAGCCATGCTCTCCTGTGCACAGCGCTCGGAAGTTTTCTGCAAGAGAGCCTTCATGTCAGTGTCTGCCTTCTTATGTTTGAATGCACACGGTAAACAGAACAGTTACGTTAGAATAAAGCACAAGCAAAATCCTAAACAGCAGAGTTATTTTTTCTTAGTCTTTTCGATATTTATTAGCAACCCTGAAATATTTCTGATGAAATCTTCCTAAAAGAAGAAAAAGTGTGCCTGTAACAGTGTAAGAATGCCACAAACCGCTCAGTTATCAACAGAACAGAATAAAATTTGCAGCCTTTTTGATGATCATGAGTCTCACCTTTTAAATTTGTGGTAATCTCCTGTTTTTCAGGTTTTAACATAAAAAAAGTGAATAACAATCTTTTATCTTATGTTGTGACAACACATTGTTATTCTTCTGATTTACAAACCAAATAGGCAAGCTTTGGCAGAAAGTCAAAAAAACTGTTCTAACATAATCAAAGTGACAACCTGTCGATTCACACACACATTTGGTGTGTCAAGTTAAACTTAGTCAAGTTCAGGCACACCATCATCTTTTCTTTAGGTCTGAGTAGATCAGATACTCGTTCCAGCTTGTTTGGTGTTTAAGGAGGAAGAGAACATCAGTTACCTGCAGTTTTGGGCACGACTTCTGCGTTGAGCTGCAAAAGAAAAAGAAGCAGCCTGAAGGCATTTTTAAAAAATTTTTAAATCTGGGGAGAGTAAATCAGCGACTGTGTGAGGACATCGAACTGAACATTAACATGCAAACTAATACAAGCAGTGTCAACACTTATTTTTAACCTACTCACCTCGAAGGTAACTCTGCCAAGAGGCTCTTTGTCAGCGGCAATGTCAAAGTACACCAGCGGGTTTTTGTTCGCTGCCGCTGGGCCGCTGCTGTACAGACGCGCGGCTGTAAACGCTAAAGAGCAAAACTTTATCCTGTTTGACAGAAGCAACATCTTTATAAACTCACTGTGATGCAATAACTCAACGCAGGTGGACCAACAGTGACCTACAATCACGCTTACATGCGCGAGAGGAGGAAGCTGACTACGCAACCGGAAGCTCTGCTACGTTTCTCGCGAGATTACGCGAGATTTTTTATGCACTCAAATTATTATTATTGTTGTTGTAGTAGTGTTATGCTGCGTGCTGCTCATTTCATTAATGTCATACGTAAAAGAAAGGTTTGTGTAGTCTGTATGGTTCATCTGATCACCATATAGAGTTAGTCTAAAATGAAAATGAATCATTCAAGATGCGCTATTGCTACAGCCCAATCAAAAACAACGTTTTGAAAATTCAAAATCTAAAACATCTACACCACGTGAAACTTTAAAATTTGAAACTGGAGACAATCAGTTCGTAAAGTGAAGCAGACAGTATTTAATCAGTTTTGCATGTCAATTATTTTATTTTTTTTGTATAATGCCTTACCATAAACAATCCCCACCCATCACCAGGATAAAAAGTCTATTTTATTATTAAAAACCCCAATCATAAAAAATAAACTGTTTGAAATGAGTGTGTTGCTGTCACTGTAATGTAACCAAATGTTATACATGCATCATGCTATAAGCAGAATATACACACAAATGTCAGAGTAGAGGTCTTTAGCTAATTCACGGACCTCTGGCCATGTGCATGAAACTGCAAACCTGCAAATATTCGACGATATCAGCAGTAGAGCTGGGGAGCAGCAAAGCTTTGGACAGTGAGTTTGTAAAAGCTAGATTTTGGTTTATAGATTGTTTTGCAACCTGCAGCAATGCGGGGCTGTGGAATAGGGCAGATGCACAGTCTCTCTCTTGCTCTCTTTTTTTTTTTTCTCTCAATTTCAAAGAGCAGCCACCAGAATATTACCAAGTACAAAAGCGTGATAAAGCTGGTCATTTTATAGGCAGAGAGATAAAAAGCTTCTCTCAGTTGATGCCATAGTGCCAATATCTGATATGGCAGACTTTTTTTAAACACCAGATGCCCATTCCTGATGTAAACCCCCCCCAGAATGTGCATCCCACCCTGTTCTCAAACTGAGGACCATGCAGCTGAACACCTCACAAACTGATTGGACTGCGGGTGCATTCAGTTTTATGCCCATGCAAATTTTAATTTGCAGCTGGAAGTAGTCTCCCACTGGCAAAAATTACATTTTACCCCAATCTTTTCACAGTACTTGTGACATTTATCTACACTCAGCAAAAGAGGAAGCACTCTAGGCCAACCTCTTTCACTTTGGTCATTTTATTGAAATTCACCAGGAAATGAGATTACACAATGACCATATCCACATTAAATCTACTTGAGCTCTCCACAGTCCGTGATCGTGATCTTCTTTGAAGTGTACCCAATCTTGGAACCAAAAGACTCCATTTTCTTGACCACATCCATTCCCTCCTTTACTTTTCCAAAGACAACATACTTGCCATCCAACCTAAAAGAAAAAGAAACTGCTTACAATTAATGGCTTCAAGCCATTACTGAATATCACTGTGATATGAATTAAAGCCAGTTTGGATGAAATACACAGCTTCATTGGTATCAGCTGTTATAAATATGTTTCCGTTTGTCAGTACGTACCAATCTGTTTTAGTGGTGCAGATAAAGAACTGGGATCCATTGGTGTTCGGTCCGGCATTGGCCATGGACAGGATACCTTAAAATTTAACAAACTCATATCCAGTTAGATTAAAATACGGACCCTTGAATATACTAAGTAATTCCACTTGTGGCACAGGTGCACACAACAGCTTATATTATTTAGCACACTCAAGTATCAATGTTAGAAAAAAAGTGTTAAAATGTTGCCATCTGGTGGCAAACTTTGTGGGGACCTCCCAGAGTGATGGGAGCAAAATTTCTTGTGCAGACAAGGCTTCTTTATAGATTTCACTAGGCAGTAACTTTGAGCAATGAGGTAAACTAAAGCATGACAAACAAAAATAAACATGACCTTGAAATCTCAAGACAAAAACAAAGAATGGAACAATATTATGTGAATAGTTTTCAAAATGCAAACTGGTTTAAAAAAAAGAAAAAGATTGACAGTGAATGTTACAGTGAAGGACTAACATGTGTGTAATCCTTACAAAAAAAAAATGTGCAAGAAACTCAGGACATTCCTACAATTTAAATGAAAATGCACATAATCTGTTGGCTCCATCTGTTTGACTTCGAGTTATGGACATTTCTTATATATTGACTTGCTTTCAAGTATTTGAGTGAGAAAAATCACACAAATGGCCCAAGTTAAATTTGAATCTGACAAAGTGACTTGCACTATAGAGTTGGAAATTTCTGAAAACCAATAAGTAGCACCGCATTGTTTTCATTTTCACTTGCAACAGTGTACAGAGGGGGATAATTACCTGGTCCAGTGTGCTTCAGCTTGAAGTTCTCATCGGGAAAATTCTTTCCATAGATAGACTTATCACCACCTCCAAAGTTATAAATAATATCTCCACCCTAAAAAAAAAACAAAACGCATCACTGTAGTAATATCACAACAGTCCATTGGTGGAAAATTAATTACCCCCAAAACAAAACACACCTACCTGACATATAAACTGAGGGATCACCCTGAAGAAAACGGATCCCTTGTAGCCAAATCCATGTTCTCCTGTACAGAGCGCTCGGAAGTTTTCTGCAGGATAGACTAAATGTAAATTTTTTCCTTCTCACGGGTGACGAAACACACACACACAAAGCTTTCGGTAATTTTTCATGTTTGAACAGTGACTTGTTACTGTTAGTTTAGGTCCTCCTGAATGGATTTGTAACAGCTGCTTTACAGACCAAACAATCATGAAGCCAACAAAACAAAACATCTCATCCATTCCTCAGCTCTGATAACAGCACTTTCTTGACATTTTGCTGTGATTTGTGATTAAAACAAATAAACAAATGACGAAAACTGTAGTTACCTGCTGTTTTTGGCACTACGTCTGCATTAAGCTGCAAAATAAAAAGGCTCACAGCGATTTAACGCATATTTTCAAAGTAAAAGTTGTTTGTTTGTTTGTTTTTAAACCTACTCACCTCAAAGCTAATTCTGCCAAGCGGTTCGTTGTCAGCAGCAATATCAAAGTAAACCACCGGGTTTTTGCACGCAGCTGGTGGGCAGCTGCTGCACAAACGTGCGGCCGTAAACACCACAGAACAGAATGTCTTCCTGTTTGGTAAATGCAGCATCCTAATAAAAGTCATGTTGTGCAGCTACTGCCTTCAAGTATGTCAGCAACCACCCAGAGCCAGCTTACAAATACGAAGTGGGACGTTTGCTTAGAGAACCGGATAGTCTACTCTAATGATGTTGAGAGGCTTAATTAACGTCCCTTAGAACACCTGTTTTACTGTGTTGTGTCAAAACGGCTGCTGTGTCAAAAAGCCACGTGACCATGGCTAGAATTATCCAGAACATATACTTTAAACATTAGCTCATTAGAGACTTTAAGTTACTTTAAAACCTGTTTGTTGCGTTTCAGTAAAATGTTATTGACTTTCTGCCCACCCAGCCTGTGCGACATTTTTGGATATCTCATTG